GGGGGGGGAGATATACTAAAACACAATAATACAAACGCAGAGAGAAGGGGGAAGAGAAAATTATACCGTATGTTCAATAATACAAAAACACACAGTTGGTGAGCAGTCACTAAAGGGGCAGGCTGCCATTAATGGTGAGTGGTTAGTTAAAGGTTTGAGTAAAATCCCAGCTGACCCATGGAACATTCCAGAATCAACATGAGACAATATTTCCTGTGTGCAGAATATTGTTAATATTTTAACGTGTGTAGTGGTTCCCAACGTTTGGGTCAGTACCTCTTTGTGGGTCACAAAACATCAAGCGAGGGTCCCCAGATGATTTCCAGACATTAATTTAAATGCAAAGAAAAGCTAATGGAATATTTTCATCATGATTATTGCAATTTTTTAAATAATCATAAATGAATAAAAATCATCATCATAGTTATTAGGTTTGTTTATAGCTGTTATTCCTATGTTTAATAAAGTTATTAGCAAAATTTGCAAAGTAAAGAAGTAATATGTGGGGTGACGAGTGCAACTGTTTTGTGGGTTGGAAGCAAAATCATTTGAAAACTATTGATCTAGTGGATAAGTACAGAGCCCACGAGGGGACATGGGAGATTTTTTTTTCTTTTGCGTTCCCACGCAAAAGTCGTTTATCACTGTTGTGCCTGCCGGTTTATTAACACAACTCACATGCTCACCATTAGCGAGTTAGCCTACTGCTTTAATTCAGCTTCAGAATGAATATATCACTCAGCCACCATGGAAGTATGTCATATGCTGATATTTTAGCACAGTGCAGCCACGCAACATCAATGTCAATTTCACGAACTCGTGGCGACACATCCTGTTTTGGTAACCGGATATTTCAAAATAAAAGTCTGATTTAATTTAGTTCATATACAAAAACTTTTGCGTGGGAACGCAAAATAAATTTGCGAGGTAACGCAAAAACCTTTTGCGAGGTAACGCAAAAGAAAAAAATCCCCCGTGTCCCCTCACGGGCTCCGTAGATAAGCGACACGCATATGACCCTCAGCTGTTGACAATAATGTTGATCAATAATATTTACAGAACTCAATTAGTGCTTATAAATTTAGCCCATAAGTTTAGCAAGTGCTAATCCACTAATGAATTAAGAAATTAGTAAAAGCCCTAAAGCACTAATCAGGAAATTAGTTCCCCTATTAGTGCTTTAGGGGCACTGTGCCCACCGCTGTCTGGTTGTGTGTTGAGTCACTGACCTGCGATGGGGTCCATGGCCTCTCTGCTGTAGTTGGAGCTCTGCGAGGAGCTCTGACTGGTGGAGAGCCCCCCCGTGGAGCTGCTGGTGAAGTGCATGTTAGACCTGCGGGCCCGCGGGCCCCCCAACCCACGCCCGGGGTGAAACATCCTCCGTACGTGTCGCACCCCGCTGGACTCGTCGTGACACTCTCCGTCAAGGAACAGCTCAAGTAGTATTGTTTTTTTTTAAATATATCTTTTCAATCATTTCTGCTCACGACATCACAACTTCTCTGAACGTTTCCCACAGTCAGGGCCGTCTATATTTGCATGCTGCTCTCACAACAAACCAACAACAAAAAGARCACGGAGGAAAATTCACGAGCTTCTGAGGTTCTTGTTCTGACTTTCCTTTAGCTGATTCTTTTGTCACTTTTATTCTCCTCCACAGCTTTTGTTCAAAGAAAGCTAAAAATAAAACTGAGACTGGTGTCATCAGTCAGAACAGAAGCTATTCTTATTCAGCTGGTTCCTGATTTCAGTTCTGTCTGTGGAATTTTACATTTACTTATCACTTCTTGTTTATTTGTTCAGGTTAAACCGTAATCATTTATTTATACCCCAATAAAATATGATTGTTTTTTTATATCCACTAACCGATCATTTTAAAAGTTACCACTGGAGGGCTCAAAATGTCAATGAATGTCGTTTACAGTGAAGCTGATGCACAAATAAATAAATAAAAGTTCCATGAACATCTCTTCCAGCTGCTGACAGTTGTGTCTGTCGAGGTGGCAGCACCGCTCAGAAAGGATATCAAGTCTCTCGGAGCTCTGTGTTCAAGTGTGAGATGAGCGGCAAAGTCATCCGTCACATGGTTTGGGTCGCCACCTGGCAGCGCTGCACATATCGGGCAGATCTGGAGGACAAGAAGAGAGTGGATGTGTGACCAAGTAAAATCAGCCGGGCTTCAGACGCTCACGTTTCCAGTTTGTGTTGTTGCTTCTTCAACAACGATGACATGGCAAARCTACACTACTAAAAATAAGAGATTAAATAAGCTTTTCTTGTAAACAATGGAAGCTAAACAGCGAGGGGTTTAGAGTTTGAAATTGTTATCTTTACACTTCCTTTTTTATTCAAAAGAGCAAGAAAGTAAAAATTAGTTTAATTCCCCTGCAAGTAGAGAAAAACACAATTTTCACCACATCAGCAAATCAGTAAATTAGGGTTTTTATTTCCTGTGGCATGAAAACTAGTTACACCCCTATCTGAAGTCTGTTCAATACAAGCTAATGTTCCTGTTCTTCTTCCCTGACACTCAGAAGAAAATCAGTGAGTTCCTATAAATAGAGCTGTACTTCACTTCACTTTAGCTCCTGCAAAGACAGAAGCTGACATCAAAGCTAAAACTCCTAAAATTTTGATCTACCTGTGTGCACAAGATGCTAACAGCCAGCAGAATCAGACACCTGAGTCAAGGTAGRGCTGCAGCTAACKATTATTTTAGTCATAGATTCATCGAGTAATCGGATTAAAACAACTCTTATCTTCTGCAGTCATTACTTAAGCTTATTTTATGACTAATACAATTGTGAAGGGGTAATCTACACTTGCTGACAATCCTGCTGCAATCAACGTAAAACTGCAACAGCAGTTGTATTTAATTCATGGATTTTAAGCTCCACTTGTTTGTATTTGTGTGTGTGAGGTTTGAGGAGGCATTACTGAAAAGCACTCTGCTACTGAATCAATTTTAACCATCACTGAAAAAGCTAAATTATGGTAATTTATTTTTATGGACTGGAAAACTGAATGTGATCTTTTATGTAATTAAGTAAAATGGGTAATATGAAAATTTGGGTGTTGCACATTGAGCTTTGTAGAGTTCATATGTTATTGTTAATAGTAAAAGTAAATTCATATTTTTAACTAGAAGCACTCGGAGAGTGCAAATCTCCGCCAAGACCAATTTCCCTCATCCTGTAAGAGTTAATGTGCAAAAGCAGAGATGGAAACACATTTGCCGAATAAGTTCTGACGTAGTGAACATTTAAACAGGCAGTATGCAGGGATTTCATCTCGGTGGAGTCCAATGTGAAAAAAAAAAGTCAGGCTTGTCACCCGATGTTATTCATSRTCAAACTGGTGTSRGATTAAGCTCCTAAGTTTTCATCAGTCACATTTCACCATGTAAAACGTCTGTTTTATCCCCTTGTATGAGTTTGTAATGGTTTGACTCTCTTTATAAARTGCKTCCTGKCTCCCCCCGTCTCCAAACTTTGAGGCCCGGCAGCTCTCTGTTTACAAGCCTAGTAGCGAGAAACTGTTTTGTTTGGTCTACCTCTTGAGGTAGAGGCCATTGTTAAGTGTTGGGTGACCATATTGTAAATTAATATTAAAAACTAAAAGCTGCAAAAAATATATTTATCTATTTATTGTCGAATTTAGTCTTATAATTAAAAACATGGATGAAATGAGAAATATGAAACAAAATAAAACACATACAAAGCAGAACACAGCTAAATGTATCAAAAGCATGTCTCTGTAATATTAGAATTTTCTGAGACAATGAATTTTGGTTTTTCATTTATTTTCCCCTGTAAGAGGTTTTTATTTAATAGAATTAAAAAAAAATCGCAATATATCAGGATATATCGTATCGTGACCCCTCTGTCATGATATGCATCGTATCGCCAAATTCTTGCCAATACACAGCCCTACTGCTCTCTCTCTCTCCACACACACACACACACAC